GTCACCGTGCCACAGAATCTTCTTTCAAAATTCACCTGAAAATTGTGTGACAACATTGCTCTTCCAAGAATTTTATGAACTTTTTGAAACTTTGCTACTCATTTTGCCATAAACTAGTAAAATATATAGCAAAGCTAAAAAGAAACCCATAAGTCCCAGTCTACAATAGAGATTTAAACCTTAAGTCTTAAGAAATTGACTAATCACAGTCGCGCATTCTACTCATACTTGACCGTGATTGGCCGATTTCTTAAAGCTTGGGGCTTAAATCATCTATTGTAGGCTGGGACTAAAATTCTTCGAATACTGGACGCGCTCCGTTTCGCACACGATGCGCATAATGCGCGAAACCATGGCTGCTTTCGCGAGAAGATCAAAATGACCCAGATTAAAGTGACCTTGTGCTATGATTGGTCAAATCTGGAATTTCATTGAATAAGATTTCAATGTGATGCTATGAAGTTTCAGATTTGACCAACCATAGCACAGGGTCATTTTCATCTGGATCATTTTGATATGGTATAACCATAGTGTAACTAGTAGGTCCGTCATTTGTTTCGTTTCGCGTCGATCCCTTCTGCGCACTCGACATTGCTCTGGGGCCCGATTCTCGAAATCATTCGAAGAAGCAACGTATACGAACATTCTGCTCTGACAGAAAAGTTCAAAGTCGATTGGTTAAAGCCACGCGAATAGCCAATCAACTTGCAACTTTTCTGTCAGAGCAGAATTTTTGCATACGTTTCTCCTTCGAATATATTCAAGAATCGAGCCCCTGGGCAGACCAATGAGAGAAAAGTCGTATGTATTTGGTAGTGTGGCTTTGACGAGTACGCATACACAGCCCGGCTACGTCCCCAGTGAGAAATGATTCGTCGATCGACGTCGAAATGATGTCGAATCGACGTCAATTCGACGGTGTCGACGTCGATCGACGAATCATTTCTCACTGGGTCGATCTCGCCCGATCTCGCCGTCCGTTCGAACATCTACGTTGGAAACTTGGTAGCGTTGACATTTCTCCCCGGTCACCTTGCCGTCAGTGCGCGACTCCGTTCGCGAGGATCGCGCGCGGAACTCGCGTCCAATCGTCGCGAGGCGAGTCGGGGACGGCGGCGGCAGGCGCGGGCTTAAGGCGAGCGGCCAATCAGGCGGCGCGACCGGCGGCGTGATTGCCTGACGGTATTGCGCGCGCGCGCGCGTATGAGTATGTGTGTGCGTGCGGCGCGCGTATAGGTGGCCCGTCGCGAAATATAGTAGCAGCCATCTTATATTTTGTGTCGGAGAAAAACAATTTGACCGTACAAATGTTTCGCGACTGCCCGTGAAGCCGCTCGACGCAGGGAGGCGGGTGAGGCGCTCGATGAGGCGCGACGTTTTTCGACCCTAGACCCGGACCACTACATCAGCAAAGGTTCGTATCGCGCGGCGCGGCCGCCGTCCGATCCGCCGTTTTTCCTTGACCGAGGAGACGCGCACACGACAGACACGAACCTCTCTCTCTCTCCCTCTCTTCCCCCCGCCTCGCCCCTCCATTCGCGCGAGAAATCCGGTCCCGTCGTCGGCGATCATGCCTCTGCTTCGTTTACTTCGCCGTCGACCGCCCCTGTTAAAAATAGAGCGTTTCCTCTGCGTCGCTTGCCGCCGAGACGGCCGCGCGACGGCGGTCCCACCGCGGTGGCGTCCGCGCCGTGCGCGACGCGCCCCGCGGTTGAAAGTTATGCAATCAGCTGATCGTCTGGCTACCCTCCGTGCCGCTTGTCAAAGGCAAATGTCAAGGCGAACCCCGGTCTAACCTGACACCCGGCGGGTAACGCTCGCTCGCTCGTTCGCTCGCGACGCCGTCTCTCTGCCCCTCCCCTTGCCTCTCCCCGTCCTCCCCCCTCCCCCCTGCTCCCGGCTGCCAGCTCGTCTTCGGGAGCGTGCACCGTTCTAGATCTCTGCTCTTCTCGCACGCAGGTGGATTGGTACGCAGGATATGAGCAGTTTGTCAAGCGCAACCTGACTCTGCTCCCCCATCAGCAAGCAGCGCAGCAGCAGGACGAGCAGTCTCAGCAGCTGGTTCAACCGCAGCAGGCTGACATTATGACATCCATGTTCGATCAGCAGATCAAAAGCGAGCCCATGGGGTTCTATTCGGTCGCTTCCAGTCGCTCGGACGGGTCCAACTCCATGGTGAATCTGTCCGACGATCGTGAGGATCTCTCGCAGCAGGAGGGTCACCTGCAGCCTCAGCAGCAGCAGCAGACGTTGCAGCTGAGCCAGCAGCCGGGTCAGCAGCAGGGCCAGCCGCAGGGTCAACAACAGAATCCGCAGCAGAATCAGCAACAGCAGGGTCCGGGCATGCAGCAGCAGCAACAGCAGCAGCAGCAGGAGTCACCGAGTCGCCAGTCGACGGGCCAGCAGACCGTTAAGGAGGGCTCGCGGTCCAAGCCTCAGCCTTGTAAAGTCTGCGGCAAGGTGCTGTCCTCCGCCTCGTCCTATTACGTGCATATGAAACTTCATTCGGGGAACAAGCCCTACCACTGTACAGTATGCGAGGCGAGTTTTTGCCGCAAACCTTATCTGGAAGTGCACATGAGGACGCACACGGGGGAGCGGCCGTTTCAATGTGAGCTGTGTCTCAAGAGGTTTACGCAAAAGAGCAGTCTCAATACTCACAAGCGGGTGCACACGGGCGAGCGGCCGTACGCGTGCGACATCTGCCACAAACGCTTCGCCGTCAAGAGCTACGTGACGGCGCACCGTTGGAGCCACGTAGCCGAGAAGCCGCTGGTCTGCGACCGATGTTCTCTCACGTTCACGTCCAAAAGTCAATTTGCGATTCACATCCGTACACACACCGCCAGTACCACTTACGAGTGCAATATCTGCGGACGTACATTCGTACGCGACAGTTATCTGATAAGGCATCAGAACCGGGTGCACCGCGACATGAACCAGAGCAGCTCGAATCACAACCCGCCGACGCCGCAGAGCAGCGGCGCCGGCACGCCGGGCACCGGCTTCGAGAGCCCGGTCTGCGATCTGCGCTACAGCGAGGGACCGTCGTCGTTGGACGGCCTCGCGGGGGCTAAGGGCGCGGGCATCGCCGCGGAGATCGCCAGTTTAGCCAAGCAGAACAATCTACAGCTTCCACTACCGCTGCTGCATCCGCAGACCACCAACTAGTGTTTAGACAGCAGCAGCGCTACCCAGTCCCTGCCGCAACACCAATCACCGCAGCAAGTAGTATGTCCCACCTCGGCGCCTTCGCCGTTCACACTTAACTCACCACCTATATCTCACACCGAGCACACGAGCACACCGCAGAGTGTCTACCAAACGACGGGCTCCTCCGATCCCCTGGATGGCCCCAACTCCCAAATCTATCCGCACTTGTCGTCGTCCCCCCTTGTAGACCCAACGTCGGAGTCGCATCATCAGCTGCACCGCGGCATCCCTCCGCCAGGGCTTCACCCCGCGCTCTATCTCTACGCTCAGTACTCGAATACGAGCCCCGCGACTTCGTATTCCGAGTATATGCAGCGTGACGCTAATTGAACGCGAGTTTTCACCTAGCATCGACCAACGATTCCAAACGCGAGCGAAGATGCCAGTGAGACTGGTGCTATTTAATCGCGTCGGTTGATCAAAGTGCCTATCGAGCATCCACTTCCGGTTCGTAACAACGGATGCTCGCTCGTCACGGTTTAGGAATACGGTTTCGGTTTCGGTCCAGGTGCAGGGATACGACTTGTCAGCTCGATCAATTCGCCAAGTGTTCGATAAACAATCGCTGATACTCTTTGTGTCTTTATATCTAATGGATTATATATTCGCCAGCATCTTTTAACATGGGATTGAATAGCACCCGCTTGAAGCGGTTTTTAATCGTTGGACGATCAAATCGTGCCGGCGCAGATCGTTCATCACTTGTACGCGATGCTAGCTGAAACCGAAGCGTAACGTCGTTTCTACGAGTCTCCGCGATTTCAGCACTCTTGTTTTCGCCTGGTTTTAATCACGTTTCTGTGAATATATACATACACATATGTACACACACACGCGCGTGTATGTGCGCGTGTGTATACGTGTATGTGTGTGTGTGTATTATGCGAGCCATTACGACGCATACACATATTTATATTATATTTTTAAAGGAGTTTAGTCACTTGAATCTGTGATATAGATAGTAATTATTATCTACAATGTTTAAAGTATTGGTTTACTATTTTGATGAGATATCAAAACGAGGAAAATGAAAAAAGCAATGTCACGAGGTGATCAAAAATTTCTAGCAACTGGCTGGTCTCTACCGACGGCGTGTTTGGTAGACACCCTATTGTTAATTTCTAACAACAACAACAACAGTAACACTCTATACGGCTAATTCTACTATTATCGCTGCTATTATTCTAACTACCACTATCACATCTATCACCACCACCGACATTTCCCCAATTATATATTATCTATCGCTACTATTACGGCTATTACTACCACTATTACTCTACTGCTACTACGTACTACTATACTACTAAACGAAAAAAAAAAACCAAACTATTACGGATCACACTATTGCTAAGGACACACACTCGCACACGCGAGAGCGCGCGTTTATTTCGGCGATTACGCGTAGCGCGTACGACTACGGGCCCGTCACATAGTCGTCATGGTTTCTCTTTAGCTTGAAACGCTACGAGGACTCCTTCTGTCGCTTTCTTTCTCCGTAGATCGCGAATAACGCTCGTCCCTTCGCAACGCCGACACGGATATGTTTCGTATGCGACGAGGCGCGCGCGTTTGTGATAAAAGGGAAGAAAACAAAAATGGGAAAATCGTTCTTCGTTAGAGGGTAGAGCACACAGCTTTCGATCAGTTCCATAGTTGTACTTACTTTCCACATATCTCGAGGTGTGTACACAGATATACATATATATATATATATATTTGTATATAGGTACATATACATACACGACGTACGAATGTATTATAAAGCGGAAGAGTAGGAGAATGCAGGTCATTAAAAAAGAAAGAAAAACCAGTTCTACCACGTAAAAAGGCGCAATAGGCTGTTGATTCTTCGCGAACGCTCTTAGCCATTAGTTTATTATTAACTCCTGTTCTCTTTCTCTCTCTCTCTTTCTCTCTCTTACAATCACGCTACGAGCTTTAGTGCAAGCGCGGGGGAACCATGACAACCGCGCGTAGAACTGGGAGTAAATCTCAAAGTGCACATCTGAAACGCGGCCGTCGCTTTTCGTGTCCGATTGTGAGATTACCGCGACCACGTGTAGATGCGATTCGCCAGCACACGTGCGCGATGGAGCCGCGCGGAACCGCGTATTGTAGAGCTACGAAGGTACACAAATCGAAAGAAGCTATGTATTTGCGCTAGCGTGCCTCGAACCCCTTTATTGCAGTGTTCTCTCTCTCTCTCTCTCTCTCTCTCTCTCTCTCTCTCTCTCTCTCCCCCTCCCCCTGGCGAAAGTAATTTGTTTATTAAAAATTTATAAGAAGTTTGCTTAAATGTTGAGTCAATGTTTTATTTGAGTTTTAAAATATTTATTGAATTGTTCGTGAGATATAAATTTTAACGTGGAATTGTTTATGACATGTTCACGGCTACACGTGTTCAAATTGCGTTTAACGACACAATGTCGAACGTTTCCATTATAGTTTTCGAAGTGTTTGTAAAATGTTATTGTCAGTAAAGAATTAACCGGGTGTTTGCAACGTACTTGCAAACGGTATAACCATCAATAAAACTCTTCATAAATAAATATAAACATCATCTCTCACTTAAAATTTTCGCCAGGGCCCTCTCCCTATCTATCTACCTATCTATCTCTATCTCTCTTCCTTTCAGTGATCTAATTTTTACATCGTGAAATGATCAAAATGATCCTGCGCGCGTATGCCTGAGGCTTTCGATTTAAAGAGGACGCGAAGTCACCTGGGCAAGACTGATCTTTATCGTAACGGACTACAAGATGCGAAATGTTTTATTCTTTCTCTTCCTTTATGTCTATTTCTCTCTTTCTCTCTTTCTCTCTCTATTTTGTTCCCCCTTGGTCAATCCGCGTTCTATCTTTCGACCGGGGGCGCATGTAAGCGCGCTGAAAAAGAGGACGGTACGAGAGAGTCTTTCATTGATGAAGAAGAGCCGCGTAAAAATGCACACGTTCGTGGACGAGATGAGTCGAGCAGTCGGACAATTGGTTAACGGTACATCCGTCGTTTCGATTAATTAACGTACGGTTAATTAGTCAGGCGGCTTATCGCATTGATTTAAAATTGAATAAGCGATTAAGTTAATTACGCGCGGGAGAGATCCGCGAAACGCGCGATTTCTCGTTCACGCTGTTTGAGGAACGAGGTGCAATGAGAGAAAGCAATTGATCTTTTTTTTTGTCGGCTAGTCATTGGGCAGCTCTACGAGATATTAAGTGTACTACAAAGCTGTGATTAAAGCCTCCGTGCATATGACCGCGCAGCTCCTAATTATAGTGATATAAATATATTATATATATATATATTTTGTAGTTTATTATAAATATGTAAGTAAAAGTGAAATTAGATAGCCTTAGGAATATTTAAAAATCCGCAATTCCGGTCGATCGGTTAATTATTCACTCACGATCTCTTTCTTTCTTTTTTTTTTTTTTTCCCTCTTCTTCGTTTTAGACGCGTACCCTCGCAGTGTTGGGCAAAGGCATACATGATGCGTAGGTATCATAAGTTATCACTTGGGGCGGTCTCGTCGATTATGCGAGCGTTCAAAGAGAGTTTTATACGAGGCGCGCGCGGGGCGCGGGTTTACGTTTTGTAAATTTTTATACAACGATCGTACTGTTTGAAATAGATGCTTGCTTGCTTTTTTTTTCTTCGGAGAGCCGCTCTTATCTTATCAACGCGCTTTAAGCTGACTTGTTTGCCAATCCGCGAATTGCCAGTCGATTGCACCACGCAATTTATTATAAATACTCGATCGCGGGGCTCGGTTTGTGTCCGTTTGAATATGGTCGCGCGCAAATACGGGATAGTGTACGAGGGGTGCGTTCGTTCAGTCGAGAGAAGGAGCCATTGGTTTACTCGCGTTCGCCAACGCTGAGACTGGAAACTTGCGCAAAAGGATTATTGCTTGCGGAATTTCGCGTACGGGCGACAATATCGCATTTTCCAGAGGAACGACACGCTCCTCGCCGGCAGCGGCAACGATTTCCCCGACGTCTCGGGGAAAAGTACGGGGCGTCGCGACTGCGCCTCGTCGCCGAGACGAACGCGACCGCGGCAAATTTCAGCCCAGGAACGATCGTAGCCGGTAACATCAGCGTCCCGAAAACGTAGTGAGATTTTAACTGTGTTATCCGATACGTAGAATTAGGAGCTATTTCAGACAGTATGCCGCGTACAATATAGGCCGTGCGCGTATATTTTTTAGGATTGCCCAGCACTGACCTATCGAAACTCTCGAATCCGGTAATAACGATCTCACAAACCGGCCGCTTTTTTTCGCGGACGTATCATCGAGTTCTGGTATTCGCGACATGTATATCAAAAAAATGTGTATTTTCGTAAGAAGGGCGAGGGAGGGGGGGGGGAAGGGGAATAGGGGTGGAAGACAGGTCCTTCCTTTGGAAGAGCCCTCGTCGGACCAATGCGTGTGTACATATGGGAGACGATAAAAATAAAATTTAAAAAAAAGCAAGAAAAATAGGACGTTCCGCGGCGCCTCTGGAGCGCGGAAGTACGTCTACAAGTGCTATATACTTATATATAACGCGCGACGAGCGAATACTCCGACGTAAAAAACGCGAGAGAGATTGCACTTTTTTTTCTCCGTTTACCCCCCTCGGTTTCTCCCCGCCTTCCCTGCAGTGAAAGAAAAATTTGTTTTCTCCCTGGACCCTTTAACTGTCGGGCAGTTTCGACGCTTTGCGTTAGCTCCCTCCTTCCCCCCCTTTTTTTTATTTATATACGCACGAAAGATCTTTTTACTTTGTGTAATTCAGCTGATCGTCCTTGTCTCTTTCCTTTAATGAAAGCTAACGGATCTATACGAAATCGCGGGTAATTTGCGAGGATTGTGTGTTTATAGCGATTTTTCACTGCGGTACGCCTGACCGAAAGAGCAGGCGATTGATATTAGGAAGCTCGAGAACGCGGTATCAACTTCGTTTCATTTTCCTCACCGCATTGGCTTATTTTTGTTCTACGACTGATACTTCCTCATGACGTCTCGGATTATTTCCGGTATTTCGAAAGTCGATTATCGTCGCGGCGAAGACATCGGGCATGACTTAATATTGACCCGCTCTTTACGCGTTCGCATTACAACGCCAGGGATCGATCGACCTTGCGTCAACGCCGTCGATTTGGCGTAAGATCGATTTTTATCGTTTTTACGAAAAATTCAACGCCGGGGCATCCTGGGCTCTGTCTGATGTCATCGCGTTATCGAGGGCGCGGGGACGTGATAAGAGGCTTGTTTTCTGTTCCTACACTAGTGAACTAGTGCAATAAATTAGAGTAAGGCAAGCATATGTTTTCTCATTCTATCTTACTGCACTAGTTCACCAGTGCAGGAACAGAAAACAAACCTAAGGCTGCCGCGAATCGCACGAAGGGGGGAAAGAGACGACGCGCGTAATTTCGAAATTCCTGAAAGCACCTTGTACATAGTGTAATCAATAAGGGAATCAAAAGGCGTGTTGCGCTAGGAGACAGGGGCGTGAAAGCCTCCGCGTGGAGTTCAGCAGTTCAGCGAATTATCGCGTACGAATTTCACTTTGCGATGCATTGACGATTTCATTGCGAATACGATAGACCGAGTGACTTTTATGTGCTCAAGTCGTGCAGTTTTGGTCTGAATAGGAGTCTTATATCAATTTCCCATCGCTGCGGCACGAGCATGTTCAGCCGAAGACATTGTTATAGCTTATGCTACTCGAGATATATAATTTGCTGGATCTAATGATAGATTTGATTGCCATTTAGCTTCCGCACAAATACCTGTCTCCATGTGAATGCGCTGAACGTCTATAATGACGTTGTGTTAGGAAATGCACAGTACCGGTCCTTTTTACGCGAACGTTATTTATTTATTACACTAACGGTTCTTCGACAAAATTTCAGTTGCGCAAGAGTCGGCAAATGACAAACAAAATTTCTATGTGCTTTTGTCGCGGATATGTAATTGCAGTGAGAGCAATGCAATGAGAGGCAGCGATCATATTCTGAGTTTTCGAGTCTCGATGAAAACGTTAATAAATACTCGGGTGGAGAGTATTAAATAATTTGATTTAACAAGACAACGACATTCGTGGAAAGTTGTAATATACGAAGAAGTGTAATATAAAATCTGTAAAGCATTATATATACATATATACATATGTAAAAGAGACAGTATCGACTCTTTTTGTGAATGCTTCGCTGCACATTCTTAACGCTGCGTACATAAACGCGTCTGTTAACAAGTGCTTTGGACAACGTGTCTTTACGATAAAGACAGTTTCCGTAAAGGAGTCGCGTACGATATACGTGCTGTCGAAAATTGGCTGGTCTGATTTACGTCTGTGATCATTTTACATTACAGCGATTTGCCGGTGGCACATTACTCCAGTAAAAAAAAATTTCTTCTCAATTTGGAGCACAAAGTTAAATTTACCTCCGAAAGACGCGAACAACAGAAATTTATACTTGCGTAAATTTTTATTCAACATTAGTGATCATGTCCTGTGATTTTATGTTAAATTTAGTGCTACTTAGCTTCCAGGATAGTCTACGATATAATTGTTATATTGTCTGTTCACACCTTTCATGACCTTGCAGTGCGGAAGAAATACGAACTACGGATAATAGTAAACGGGGGATAAAGAATGTTTAATCTACCTATCTATAAATAAATCAAGGTTTTGAGATTGCTACATATCGCTTCGCGTTTTATTTCCATCGCAGTATTAGATAATTCCTCACATCTTTATTATTTGAGCGACTTGTAGGGAAATTAGTTTTCAAAGAGGTCGGTATATTTAATGTTATTGTGTTTTGTAAAGTATATAAAATAATTTATATAAAACGTGTGTATATCTGTCCAACCATTTGATAACTTATGAGATTACGCGTTCAGGTTGCATCCTATAGTCTAAGGATTTGTTTTACGCGAGGCATGATTGACGAAAAATTCTTCCGCACTTCTCTAATTAGTTTTTACTACACTATCCCTGCCATCTCGTAAAATTGATAGCTGTGTTGTGTTGCGCTGCAAAACATGTCCACTCTAAATTCCGCGAAATTATAACGGAAAAAAAGTGACTTTTTTTCCACTTTAAGTAAACGTGAAATTAAAGCGGAATTGCGTATACAGGACATTGTCCTAATAATAATGTCCTGTATAAATAGAAGGGAAATGTAGCAAATTTTTTATATATATTCCCTGATATATTGTGAAAAAGAATTTATCACCTGGAAGACAATATTTCATTAGACAAAACACGAATTCATCGCAGTCGCACGCGGTACATTTGCCGCGATAGTTACCGCGTCTGTCTATTCCCATATTGCTCCGCAAAAATTAGCGACAAAGATATTAAACTTAATATTGAACTGTGTAATCGAGACGACTGAAATACAGATTGAGCGACAACAGAAAGTCAGTTGCCATGGTCACGTAACTCTTGTCCGCTTTAAATATATGACCAAATCCTTTACAATATCCTTTACATTACCGGTCCTACTTACATAAAGGATTTTGTATAATGAATAAAGTGTCATATTAAGAACTCGACCAGTCGTGCTTAAATCAAACGGACATATGAGAAATCCGTTATAAAATATAACGGAAATACAATTGTCCTTTATACATAAAACGGATATGTTTTGCAGTGATGGGAGAGAGATATAAACGAAGTTATCTTTTATTCTTGTTAAATTCTTCCGTCGCTATTCAGTTCTCACTGAAAGAGAGTACTGAAAGACAAGTTTTAATCAAATGCGTATATGTAAAGTAATTTATTTTAATTTGACCGATAGGTAAAATCCTGGTATCAAAGATTAGGGAAAGTGTCGGCTGTTATCTTTTTTTTTTCATTTTAATTTTCGCTTCTCGCCATCGTGAAAAACTTGTTGAAATAGTTCAACTCTTCCTGTACAGATAGATAAATTCACGCTCATCTCTCAATGACGCTGCTCTCTTGCGCTTGAATACGATAGATCGGCGATGTTAGTAGCTAATATAGTTTGCGTTCGCAATGCGTTGAGCAACAAAAATCATGGTGTGTTAAATTGAACGAATGTCAGTTTGTGGATTCTGAGATGCCATATACGGTCATACATGGAGACAAAAACGAAAGATGCTTTTCGAGTGACGAAAATCGGTTTTATATCGAGGACGGTTCTTGACTCGCGTTAAGCTATCTGCGAAACTTGCAAAATTTAGAATAGGAAACGGAAAACTTCGAAATACGTTACTGCGCTTTTAGAATTCTCAAGTCGTATTTTGATGGCATAGAGTGTGCCATTGGAAAATTTATTTATACCATGTTATTTACGTAAACTACGTAACGATATGTTTTTATATTTTAATAATGAAATGAGGAATAGGATATACTCGTATGTTGCATATACGTAACATATACGCGTACGTATATGTGTGTGTGAGAAAAGTGATTTTTTTTTACGTATAGAGATTTACGTTCGTTGTACCTTTTTTTAATGTATTATTTTTCTGTATAGATTTATATGTATACAATTGATACACTTTGTTATATCTCGTATAAAAATTGAATTTCGTTGGACCTTCCAAAGTATTATTACCATAATATTTGTAAAAATGTCTTTTACATAGAGATAAATGATTTCAATCGTATCTCTGTATGCTGAATTCAAGCAGAAAAAAAGTTTTATCGCGATCGCGGAAAGGAACAAGAAAATATCGTTGAAACCGCGAGGTAAATTGGCATAAAAAAAAAGGCGCGGTTCTACGCACCACCGTGATTGTGCGATTCTATTGGAAAATACTCGTTATGCTATTTTGCCGATCGATTACTATAAATGTTCTTCATTTCATTATAGATGTGTACGTTCTGTTTTATCTGGAGTAACATAAGTGTGTACATATTCAGGCAGGAGGCAAAAGAGAGGAAACGAGACGTGGGGAGCATGTGATCGAAAGGAAACGCACATTTGCGAAGAATGTTGCGTTCATTTCGCGATTGGGACTTGACTTTTTGTTTCTAATTTTTCGTTTGCAGCGCGCGTACGACAATATATCAAGCTAATCGATCGATTACTAGATACGAAAAATCGTGGAACGCTCTACAACTCGTCAACGTCAGATAGCTGGTCTTCGTTACGTCGATTAGCTATCGTCACGGATGTATCACGTATTCTAATATCCTAAATACTCTTATATAATTTAGCGGGTAGTTGCACGTATCTTCCTGACGCGTTCTTTCAGCGAATTTAATCTGAAATGCGGAACTATTGGTGGTGGCACCCTTTACCAAACCTCCCCTACACACACACACATATATATACGGAGTTGTCCCCGGAAATATTGCCGCTTTCTCAAATTTCTATTATTCGTCGGAACGAGAGAAACTGATCTCCGTTTGCGGCGTTCCTTTGTTTTCACGCATACGAAACTACGTTCGATCTCTTATTAAATCGGAGACGATGTCAGTCAATGGACCAATTTGATAATCGACGCTTCAGTTTGCGCGTGAGGGAGATTTAGACACGGGAGCGTTTCTCGCCGAACGTTCCAACGAACAATATCGCGGGAGAAGTGGCGGTGTTTCAACGGTGGAGGGGACACCTCCGTTTCATTCCCGATACTTTCAAGCCAGTTCCTGGTCCGACTACCTTTACCAAGTGCTCTATCGTGCCCGTGCGATCGACTCCGTACTTTGTGATAGCCCTGGTAAGCACAGCCCTGGCTAATGTTTTATACCCTCGCGTCGCCTGGCACGAGCAGCACGTGATGTAATTAAACCTGACTTTCAGCTGGGGGATTCGATCGAGGTAGGTCTCGCGGGAGGGGACGGTAGATGATAAAAGAAAAGAAAAGAATCCGAGCTTGCGAATTAAGCGATCGGCTCCCGGAGTCCGACGAACGGAGGGCGGGTGAGACACCTAACAGCCGCGGAGGGTGGGAACTTGACGAAGCAGAGAAAGGGGGGAGGGAGGGGGAGTTAAATTGACAATGCTCGCGTCGCTCGACATTGCGCCTGTACCATTTTGCTTCTTTAGCAGAGTACAATGCCATTTATTTTTGTAATACGTTTACGTAGGATAGCTCTTATTTTTATAGGGGTTTACTGTGCTACCGTAAGTCTTATAGAGGCCTGCGTAATAAAGTAGTGTAGGAACTTTTGTAGGTGTCGCAGAGAGTCCACAGTGGAATATATATATACATATATACATATATATTAACAGGAAAAAAAAAATTAAGGGACACGCACTTCTAGTACTGGCTTTAGTTTGGAACGGACACGGAGACGCGCGCGACACATGCACACACGTAGCTACACCACGAGCGAATACGTAGCAGAAAGGCTACCTCGTTGTCGGGGCAATGATTCTCAAAGCAATCTTTCCGCGGTCGAGTGGGTCGGTTGGAAATGGGGGACGAGAGGGCTGGTCTGTGGCCAGGGATATTCCCGCGTGAGGGCAGAATATTAGCGCGACTTCGAATTATACAGCAATAAGAGATAAGTAATCTGCTCCTCGGCGGTGGCGGTCGCGGCAAAGTAAACGGGCGCTCCGTTTTCCTTTTTATTCCCGGGGGGGTGAGAATTGCCGGCGTATCGCGCGGCAACGTCGTGGCGTCGGCGATCGTTTCGACCCGGGCGGCC